AACCTTTTTTAATCTCTTTAATAGGTGGGTAGATTTAACAAGTTAATGGCTACATCTAGCTAAAGCTGATATCACAATCTCAAAAATTTAGTAGTTACCTGAAAAAATTTGAGTGAATCTTCATGTTCTCTTCTCTGCTGTTCATTTAAACGTTTCTTAAACCTGGCTTCTAATATAGATTGTTGATTCTCTCTTTTTACTTTCTTCTCTTTTAGATTAGACTGTAGCTGGTTAATTCTTCTATCATTATGTTCCTAAAATATACCAACATTCTTTTATTCTTTTAACCTTTTGTGTATTTTCGGACATGTGCATTGGAGTATATTTTTAGTACATATACATTATAGTCAAAAAGAAGTGTAAAACCTGAAGGGACAGGTGCGCCATTTATGGGGTTGATTTGAGACTTGAATATATGTAAATATTCTTCAGAAGTACTAGATATGTAGGAAAATCGCATAATTTCTTCAAATATATCTCAAACCTATTTCTATAGATGTCATTTCTATATATGGCAGTGTCTCAAGAAAAGGTGACTTGTCTTTTTAACTTTCAAATGCAGATAAACACTATTACTGATTAGCTTAGCTACCATTAATGTTATGCTGAAACCGAACCAAAAAATATAAACTTTACGAATTTCATAAGAGATTAGTCTCTCTGAGGCAATAGAGTGAGAGTTTTGTCCACCAAATATTGGCTCAATCACTAAATATAATGAGCTTTATGGAAAAGAAATATCAGATTGGTACCTGAACTCTTTGATTCATTTCTCGGACTTTTTTATCCATTTCTACATTGATGGCCTCCTCATTCAATAAACGTTGAGTATTAGTATTATTAGCTAGTCTCATTTTAGTATCAGTTAAACGACGCTGCTCTAAAATACAAACAGTCAGACAAAAATTAATGTGGAAACGCTTCATCAGTTTACCCTATTTAGGGTAGGGTTTCAGAAGAAACTGATTTTTGTCCCATATGAACAAATGGATGCTTAACTCTTTTCAGCTCTACCACTATGCATCAATGTATACTCATCAATGTATATGCATCAATGTATACGTATATGCATCAATGTATATGTATACGCATCAATGTATACGCATCAATGTATACAATGACTGATGTGAGAATGGACCCTTCAATCATTGAGCTAGCCTCTAACTGAAATTAGTTGTCCTATCTTGGTTGGCGTGTGAAAGTCTAGTGAACTTAACTTTTCATTATTCTATGTGATTCATTTAAAATGGGTAAGAAAATTCCAGAAAAAATCAGGCCACGTATACTTGAAGAAGATAATAACCTGGGGCATCCTAATGCTAAGATGGTTTCGAGAATACATGGTCAGGGGGTGTTGTCCAGAACTAGCTGATAGTCGTTATTGTTATAAAAATAACTCTTTTAAAAATGTGTTTCATTAAGAGCTTGTCACACTCACTCTAAATGTCTAAGTCTAAAATCCATCAAGGATAAAAGACAATATTTGAAACTAGTAAACCTACCATCACGTTTTTTAATATCTAAGTGATGTTTAGTACGACTTAAATCAGCACTCAACTTTCTATTATAAGATTCTGTTGTTTTGATATCACCATCACTTTTCCTACAAAAACAGACCATTTTTTTTTTAATCATTGAAATAGTCTTTTTTTACTCAGTTATTAACTTCTGCCATCACATGACCTGGAAAATGTTTTTGTCAAGACAGTCATTTTAAACCTTTACCAGGACATCTGGTGGTTGAGGATTCTAATTTTGGATGGCGTATGAAAGTCTGGTAACCTTTATTAAGGTATCTTTCTTTGTTATTCTAGTCTACCCAGCTGTAAATGGGTTATCCAAAAAGAGAAATGCTAAGATTTTTGGCCAAGGACCAGATAGTAATAAGGATCCTTGTAAACCTATGTTGTTATTCTTGTAAAAAATGGTTTCTTTTCAACTAGAATCTCCCCCAGAACAGCTTTGGCTCTATTTATTGACACCAAAATTAGAAGAAGCATGAACCAAAATACTAATCTTTTCATGCGACATCATGGTAACAAGTATTTTAAATGTATTGAAATGAACTAAATTTGGCAATTATTTAATCTTTTCTAGCTATTAAGCAATTTTCACAAGTGAAGAAACCATATTTAAGCATGTTTGTTTTATAATGTTCCCAGTCCTGGTAGGTATAAGTGCCCACACAATCATTTAATAATTCTATTACTTACGCCAGTTTAGAAGAGAATTCCATATCATTATTTAAATCATCTTCGATTCTTTTTTTCTCATCTTCTTTTTTCTTCCTAAAATTTCAAGTAATTGTTATCAGTAATTGTTATAGGTAATATTATCATTGTATTTGTTATTGGTTATATTATTGTTATTAGTTATGTATTTGTTATCAGTTATGTTTTTTTATCAGTTATGTATTTGTTATCAGTTATATCAGTTATGTTTTTGTTATCAGTTATGTAGTTGTTATCAGTTATATCAGTTATGCTTTTGTTATTGGTTATGTAATTGTTATTAGTTATGTATATGTTATCAGTTATGTATTTGTTATCAGTTATGTATTTGTTATCAGTTATATCAGTTATGTATTTGTTATTAGTTATGTTATTGTAATCAGTTATGTAATTGTAATCAGTTAAGTAATTGTCATCAGTTATATCAGTTATGTAATTGTCATCAGTTATATCAGTTATGTAATTGTAATCAGTTATGTAATTGTCATCAGTTAAGTAAAATGACCATCAGTTATGTAAAATAAGCTCAAAGCTAAGCACAACTTTTTGACCCAGACATAAGAAATTGAAGAATGTAATCCCATTGTCACATTTATTTACACATACCTTGCAGTTTCAATCTGTTTAGTTTTCCCTTTTACAGTCTCCATATTTAATGATAGAGCTAGAGCAGCTGCTTCCTGCTTCAATCGGAACTCTTCATTCTATAAGATTAAAATTGTTAGACTTGACACAATCATTGCATTCTCTTTGAGAAAGGAAAACCATTTACATTGTATGAACTAGTTAGGTATCCCTGACATGTCCCATTAAACATAAAAATATTTTTGAAAAATGAATGTCCCCATAAATCAATGAAAATGGGTTTCCTTCAATATGGATGATCTAACAGTATTTCTTACCTCTTTCAACTTCAATTTATTTTCATATTCTTCATTCAATCTGTTGACTTCTGTTCTTTTAAGTTCTATCTCAGATAGTTTACTTCTGTATTTACGTGCTAAATCTGTCCTACAAGAGAAGCCATCTGTTATCAGAACACCCACTTGATCTAGTTTTGGGACCAAATGGCAAGTTTTAACTTTCTCCAGGCCTAACATAAACAGTCTTTTTCAAAAGGCAATTTTGGTCTGAGAGTTCAAAAAAGGTTTTTAATTCTCTTACTAGCTGCTATTTGTCCATAAATAATATTTTAATCAAGAGGAAACTTAATCTTGTCAAGTTCTCTGGAATTCTATGAACCAGAAAAAGTATAAAATGTCCCTGATACACATACTAAGGCATGAAACCCATTTTGAATTTCTTTAAAGGGGCAGATGCACCATTTTAGGGGGTTGATTTTAGTTTTGAATATATAATAATAGTCTTCAGAAGTACTAGAAATGTAAGAAAATCGCATAATTCCTTTAAAAATACTTCAAACTAGGAATTTTACTCACTATTTCTATATATTTCTTTTCTATATATCACTGAGTATCTTAAATTGACGAGTCGTCATTTTAACATTCAAACACAGATAATTTTGGACACTTTGATTTGACTTAGCTAAAAATTTCCGTTTCTGAGACTATGATTGGTCAAAAAATGGCGCACCTATCGCTTAAAATACACAGAGTTTGATTATAATAAAACGCACTGGTATAAAATAAAATTGTGTTATGTTATGAAATCCAATTTATAACTCTTAATGATGTTCAAGAATTGTAAATACTGATTATGTTTATTGGTAACAAAAGGTTTGGAAAAATGTTGCCACCATACTATCAAAACCCATAGGTGAATATATAATGTTAGAGTTCAAGGAAGTAAGCTTTTAGGAAATAGACTAGATTAGCAGAAATATAGAGAATTACCCAATAGGAAATGAATTGACCTACAAATAGATTACAATATGTCACTTATCGTTAAGTGCCAATTCGTATCTCCAATAAAGATTACAACAGAACATTTCCTTGCATTTTACTAAGTACTAGGATATATCATACTGGTATCAATATAAATAGTGGTATAATGGGAATTTATATAACAATAACAATTAATACAGGTGTATCATTTAAATGTGAGAAGCCTATATTGCAATGTATTTGGTTCTTCTTATCCTTATGAGGAAAAAAATGCTGCTTTATCAGGTGACATAATAAATGACCATGCAAACCGGATCATTGGTCACATGAAAAAGCAGGGGTTTTTTTCTGCCACCAAATGATTTCAGAGCAAGTTTAATATCAAAAAAAGTTTCCAGTATTTATTGGGTCACGATGATAAATTCCCAGTGTTTATTGGGCAATAATGATATCAGATAAACTTTTCAGTGTTTATTGGGTCATAATGATATCAGATAAAGTTTTCAGTATTTATTGGGTCATAATGATATCAGATAAATTTTTCAGTGTTTATTGGGTCATAATGATATCAGATAAATTTTTCAGTGTTTATTGGGTCATAATGATATCAGATAAAATTTTCAGAGTTTAATGAGTCATAATGATATCAGATAAAGTTTTCAGTGTTTATTGGGTCATAATGATATCAGATAAATTTCCAGTGTTTATTGGGTCATAATGATTTTAGATAAATTTTCAGTGTTTATTGGGTCATAATAATATCAGATAAATTTCCAGTGTTTAGTGGGTCATAATAATGTCAGATAAAATTTTCAGAGTTTAATGAGTCATAATGATTGCTTAAAAATAACATCATTAGAACAGGACTGTTGTAGAAAATGTGTTAGATTACAATGAAGATGAAAAATATCAAAAATAAATAAATTCTTGTCTCAATTAGGTAGGTTATGGCGTGAAGATTAGGCTAAATAAAAAATTTAAAAAAAAAGCAAACTAATGATTTCTAACTTACTTTGTTAAATCTACTTTTCTACCATCATCTTTTATAGAAAGGTTTGTACTTTGTGATTTTTGGATTCTAGCTAAGGTTGTCTGAAAGAGCATAGTGATGAAAGTGATGCAGAGTGAATCCAGACTGTGCAAAATAAAAAGAATTATCTTGAACCACAACAAAAAGATCAAGGTCTTGAGCGCCCATTTAGAATAAAAGAATGATGCAGATACAAAAATACAAGCAGACAAGAAATGAAAAAAGCTAACTACATTGTAATTTTTGAAGGCTGTAAAAGGTATTTTTTTTATGTGTATTAGAGACTCTTATAGCTTCAATGTGCACTGTTTCAATTTTTAGTCAGACGTCTGTTGTTTTTGCTAAAAGCAGGTTCTTAGATATTATTAGCAGATTGTATAATAGTGACATCATGTACCAGATAGCATTTCTATAATTACAAGAACCACAGGCATCTGACAGAAAATTGAAATGATGCAAAGTTATACAATATCAAATCACATAAAAAAAGCTTAAAGATGGTTTTCCTTATATTTTAGTGTCAAATTCAGCAAACTATTTGATTAATTGGTATTTCTAATGAATTATCATGTATTCTTAATCATATCATTATGTTCTTATTGCATATATATGAGTTTTAACCAATCATTAATGTCCATGTATGTACAGTCTGGATAAACAAAAAGGGCTTTTTGACCTTTCTTGATTGGTCATTTGAATTTTGCTTGCAATTCTCTTCTAATTTAGCTAATTATGAATTAATTATGGACAAATGAGACAAAATGGTATTTTCCAATTCTACTTTTTATTCTTATAAGTATTAGCATTTTCATTTTCAAAAATGAAAATAAGGGAATCCATCTTTAAAAACCTCTTACCAATCCATTTTAGACCTCCTATATGTGACCTAATAACCTTTAGAATATTCTTCTTCAATTACATCGTTTTTCATGGGAACTATCTTAGGAAATGTTCAAAAATAATCTTGCAATGTGCTCAACGGTTATTGTTTTTATCAAGTTCTTGATCACAAAATTACCTTCATAGTTCATTTTTGGTTCTTCAACTTTAGAGGGCAAAGAGGTACCATGATATATAGCGCACAGACAAAGATTAGAGGTACAAGAATTTAAAGATTGGAATCAAGAATCTATCTAATCATCTACAGAAATATCTGATCTAGCTACAGGAAAAGAAGGATTCTAATCTACATCAATAAAGATTAGGACTGAGACCTAGACATACTTAGCTCGATACAACTGTCTGCCCATAAAGTTTTCCTCTTCCGTTTGAGCAGTCTTATCAGTTATCCTATACTTTACCCGCTGAAACAGTTAATCCTTCATTTTAAAGGATACCTTTCCACAAATTATAAACTGTTCTTATATAAAGGATACCTTTCCACAAATTATAAACTGTTCTTATAAGCTTATAAGATTAATGGATACCTTTCTATAAATTATAAACTGTTCTTATATAAAGGATACCTTTCCACAAATTATAAACTGTTCTTAACTAAAGGATACCTTTCCACAAATTATAAACTGTTCTTATAAGCTTATAAGATTAAAGGATACCTTTCTATAAATTATAAACTGTTCTTATATAAAGGAACCTTTCCACAAATTATAAACTGTACTTAACTAAAGGATACCTTTCCAGAAATTATAATCTGTTCTTATATAAGAGTAAAGGATACCTTTCTACAAATTATAAAGTGTTCTTATATAACAGTAAAAGATACCTTTCCAGAAATTATAAACTGTTCTTATATAAGAGTAAAGGATACCTTTCCACAAATTATAAACTGTTCTAATATAAGAGTAAAAGATACCTTTCCACAAATCATAAACTGTTCTTATATAAGAGTAAAGGATACCTTTCCAGAAATTATAAACTGTTCTAATATAAGAGTAAAAGATACCTTTCCACAAATCATAAACTGTTCTAATATAAGCTTGAAGGATACATGAAAATGGTTTTTGATGTGTATCCTCAAGAAATCAGATGAGACTGAATGTGGGTCATCAGTAAAATACTGCACAACCATTGTAGACTAGTAATTCAGTGTTTAGATAAATTAGCCTTTTCATGTTTTGATTGTTTAATAACAACAACAAAACTCATATTAAAATCAAAATGGCCGACATATCTTACCTGTTCTTTATTATGAATATGATCTTGTTGTAATATAGTATACTTCTCTAAAGAATGAGATAACTTCTTTGATTCAGCCATTTTCTTTTTATTGATAGCTAAAAGAAAAAAAATTGTTTTATAAGATTATAGAAACCAGAGGGAAGCCAAAAGAACTTTTAATTATCAATATTTGTACTTAAAAATTATTCAAACTCTGACTTGAACAATTTTAGACTATAAGCTGATATATCTTTCATTCTTTGAAAACTTGTGGATGCTATCAGCCACATAAAATTTCATATATAGCCTATATAAGCAATCTGAGAAGCAGACATAACCAAGTAATATCATGTATAATGTTTTGAATGTTTTAACAGTTTTTCTAGTTTGAACATATAATTTCAAATCGTTTTAAACTGAGTATTCAAAGGGCTAAATATCAAATGAAATAATGGAATAATGACTGACCATTTTCATAATCTCTTAATGTATGACGTACAGCTTGTTGGTTTTTAACAATGTCTCCTTCAGTCCTCTTTAATTCTCTTTCTTGTTGTTTATGTTGCCACATTAAATCCTAGGGAAAAAAATTATCTGACCAAATTTTGTAATTGAAAACAGAAATGCAATATTTCGATATCTTTTATTCTATGGACCAAAAACCATTCCAAAACAAATAGCATGTAATTAAAATTTCATTTTGAATATCTTGTGAAATTACAAATAAAGCTCCATTTGGTCTGAGGGCAAAATGTTTTCTTGTTTTCCTCATATATTTATTGAGTTTAACATTTTCTAAAACAAACCTCTATAACTTTCAGACATTTTTCATGTTTGGTACCATCTTCCTCTGCATTTCTATGGAAAGTTATGAGATCAATTCTGGGAGAACTAGATGAGCGTAATGGGTTATCCTTCTTTCTTTGATAGGTGTAACTATAGCGACCAGAGTCAACAAAACCATCAGGACACACTTTTCTTTCTTGTTCCCTACAAAATAAACACCAGATATCATTACATATTGCATATATGTTTCCTTTAAATTCAACATAGTTTCCTAACCTCTGGCCCTATTTTACCTTATCCACTATGATGAAAGCAGTGATCATAACTATGTACAAGGCTCTCATATCTAACTCATTGGTTTCATCTGCTTGTGCACTTGTCGACCCAGCTGCAAATGGGTATAGAAAAGATCAATACAAAGAGGTTTGGCCAAGACCAAGCTGGTAGACGGAATACTCTGGAACCTAAGTTGTTTCTTTCTTTACTTTACATGTCAGAACTTTTCTGATTCAAGAATTAAATTTTCAACTCTCAAATAAATACTCACTTAAGAAAAGATGCATAGTTTTTGGCCTGTTTGCCTTTTTCATTTTCCACATGTTCACCACTTTGTCTAATGGACTTAGTAACAATGGGGGCACTATCTGGTCTCTGTATTAAATGATAACGGCTCTGTAACAGAGAGTTCCTTTCAAATGGTAAATTTGTTAATACCATTATGTTCTCTGATCAACCAAGAACATCAATTCTGAAACAACAATGAGAAGAGCCTTATCACACACAAGACGTTAACTAAATTCAACATGAATGACTGTAGAAATAAGATGAATATTAAGTAATGATAAAAAAAATGGATAAGCTTACAGAGTTACTTAGGGGGGAAGGGGAGATAATGATGCTGGGTTAGGGGGTGATGAGTTCAGTCTGCCAAGAACTAGGCCTAGTGATTGTTTGACTTGCTCAACACTGGACAAGTAAAAGCATCCTAACATTGTTGAAGTGTTAATGTCATTTGACCACAAAAATTATATCTCAATCTCAAATATTTATGATGTTCTCCTTCTGCAAATGACAAAATTATCTGCAAAAGACAAAATTACCAATAATAGTCTCACAGTTGAGTTTATATTGTGTGTTGTGCAACAATGTCTTCATGGGCCACCATACATTTCCTTAGAAACTGTAATTAAAGGTCAATTATCGAAATATAATTCATATGTCTTCCATGGCTAATTATCAAATATTGTTAATTAATTATCTAAATATTCATATTTTTATTTTTAAATCAGTGTCAGTGAAAATATCAATATTTACCTTGAATTCTTTATTCTGAAGTAATAAGTAAACACTTGCTTGGTAGTTTTGACAGTCATCCGTTCGATATGAAACAAATTCGTAACTAGTTAATTTTCCATGTTATTGCACGCACTATAATACGTACCCACAGTGTCCGATAGAGAAATGAAGTTATGTTATGAGTATAATCCGAGGAATTTTCTTTGAGTTTTAGCTGATATTTTGATGTGTCTCAGTGCCAGTGACAAACTTCTCTTTTAAAGAATCACTTGATTTAAGACAATATGGTCTAAAGAAAAACTGTGATTTTTTTTTTCGACTTTTTTGAGAATGCAGAGAAACACGTTTGAAATTTTTTAAACATGATTTACTAATATGAAAAGTATAAAAAGTCATGGAGCCCTATATTATTGAATTGGGAATGTTTTGGACTACCATTCCCCACATCTTAACTATTTTTGCCAATTATTCACCAGCCCAATAGGTAAGCATAAAAAATCTCTCTTAAATTTCACTTAGTTTAAGCTATACTTTATTATCAATAACGCTTAAACAAGTCACGGTTTATACATGTATGCTAATCCAGCCGGAGATGAGACAGAACGTTAGTTTCGTGGTTTTTAGTCGTTTTTTAGCAGTTTCTTCAAATAAATATAGACCTATAATAAATGATATTCGCATACTTCTGTAAAATACTGCAGAATCAATTTTTTCGGACTATAATGCAGTAGCCGATAAACATCAAAATATCGGAAAAATACTGTAAAGAATCAGAGAGTTTCGGACTACATCTCTTTTTAAATCTCACTACATTAGGTTTAAAATTCTGACTTTACCTATATCTACATTTCAAAAACCTGACATGAAATTCTTTGATAAAGATTTTTTCTGCAGAATGTAAATAAAACACTATCATGCTGCAAGATATCTTTAGTAACGTATTTGTACACGAGTTAAAATTTTATGGTTACGTTTTGGTTGGATACCATCGTTGTTACGGTAAACTATAATCGACTGACAACTTCCGGATTTAATGTTTACATTTTTCTACAGCTATAGAATAAGACTTTTTCATCTGAACATTTGTGTTTTTTACTGTGAAAATGGAAGAAGAGGTTGCTAGCAGTGGTGACAATATTGTCACGGAGTTTAATACTTATGAAGACTTTTTAGATTCACAAATAACATCGCTCGACCTTTATTATTTAGAGGTAAAGTAGAAAGTATGGTGGCCCATTTGTACCATTGGACCATTAGCATTGCACGAAAAACAAAGGTCAAAAATAGCAATCTATTGGGAGTCTAAACATTGGGTTATGGGTTTGGCCCGGCATGTAAGAGGGGGGGGGGGGTAATTCCAGAAGAGGACTTATTCAAATGAGCAGACTTTCACTCAACAACCAAGATTATAACCCACAACCACCATTTGTTTGACATTACGATGATGCTATTAGTGACTGTCTTAAAGCTCATTGTCGAAGACCTTTCCATATCTCCACAGTTATTGATGGATCTGTTTATTCCCAATATATAGAAGAGTTCGGTCATAGAGGTGGTTTGTATATCACATGAGGCACAACTTAAACAGTTGTAATCTGAGTGGTTTGTCCTACCATTTATCCTACACAAGTCATGGAAGTGTTTTATTTTTAGCATAACACAGCTAAGATGATTTCTCCCATTGAGGTGGCATATTCAAGTCTAAATTTTCATAATAATATTTTATATTGTCTTCAGGATGAAGAGTTAGCTAGACAGTTAGTGGAGTTAGGTTATAGAGGTAGTGGTGAAGTGTTAAAAAGAGAGGAATTTGAAGCCAGAAAACAAGCAGCTGAAGCCAGTAGATTGTCAAAACGTAGTCAACAAAAGTAAGTTTAGTTAATAAGTGTGATAGGTGCTCCATTTTTTTTAACAATCGTACCTTAGTCTCAGAAACAGAAATTTTTTAGCTAAGCCAATCAGTAATAGTAACAGCCAATGTGTGTCCAGAATAATCTGCATTTGAATGTTAAAAAGACAAGACTGCCACAGATAGAAAAGTATTTTTAAAGGAATTATGTAATTTCCGTACATTTTTAGTACTTCTGAAGACTAATAACAAATATTCAAGACTCAAATCAACCACCAAAATGGCGCATATGTCCCTTTAAAGGGGTGTGGTTGTCTAAATATTTTCATTACCAACTGGTAGAGGTCTCTCTTCTGTCCATAACACTTTTTTTTAGAACATTTTCTCTTACATTTGAATTCAACAAAAGTAAGAACCTTGACATTTTCATGTGCAGTTAATTACAATATTATGATGTCTCATGTCATAGGTTATGACTGCAGATTTCTGCTAGTTTTTTTCTTGTTATTCTTAGTTATATCTGGACTTTATTTCAGAACATTGGCCAGTTCAGGAAAAGAACTCAAAGATCCATTTTATAAATGTTTAGCTCAAAGAGAAGAGGCTAATAGAAGTGGGAAAATGACGGTAAATAATTATTAATTACAGAGCTATAGTGCAATTAATATTGTTATTTTTTAAACATTAACAATATAAGCTTACATGTATTACTGTAAAGAATAGGGCAGCAATAAATTTTTAAAAAAAACAGTCTGAGCATGAGAAATATTTTTTGGGGCCTATACCATTGTTCATGTTGATGTCAATTGATTTAAAGAGACAAATCATACTAGTCTCACAAATGGGAATTTATTTAGCTTAGACAAACAGTAATAGTGTTCATAGCTCAGCATTGAATTTGAGTTTTTAAATCCATGTGTGTCCAGAATTTGTGAATGATAAAATTACGACTCGTCATTTTAAGATACTTTGTGATATATAGAAAAGATATAGAAATAGTGAGTAAAATTCAAAATAGTTTGAGATATTTTTAAAGGAATTACGTGATTTTCATATATTTCCAGTACTTCTATTTACATATATTCAAGACTAAAATCAAAATGGCGCATCTGTCCCTTTAAATGTCTTCTGGTATTTTACTGTTTACTGATTTTCTAATTTCTTTGGTTGGTTGCAAGTAGTTCAACATTGTTCCATCTTATAAAAATGATTGTAAATATATTCCATTTATATATTATGTTTCTCAATATTTTAGACTATAGTATTTATTAGAGATAAAAATGCCAGAGGACAAGAAATATCAGGATATATTGATTTTGCTCATAGATTAAAAACAGAAGATTTCGAACCATATTTTAGTGGTAGAAAAAGATTATTACCTAGACCATCAGATCTCAGGTATGTATAAACATGAAAATAGCATCCTAAAGTTGGCTCTGGTTGACTGGTTATTCTAAGCATCTTATTGGATACATCATTAACCCACCATGATCATGTGGATGGTCTCAGATCTGACAGCTCAGGGCCCTAAATTCAATATTTGGTGAAAATTATAACTGATAACTGATGGCAACTGTGATTTGTTGTCAGAACATGTATAACTGATTGCAACTGTGATTGATGGCAACTGGCAACTGTAATTTCCATGGCAACTGTGATTTTTCTTATCAACTGATGTTCCAGTTGTCAATGCAACTGATGGAAACCGTGATTTACCAGTAGTCCATGAAACTGTGATTTAAAAGTTGTCAATGAAACTGTGATTTACCAGTTGTCAATGAAACTGTGATTTACCAGTTGTCAATGAAACTGTGATTTACCAGATTTTCCCTGTTGTCAATGAAACTGTGATTTACCAGTTGTCAATGAAACTGTGATTTACCAGTTGTCAATGAAACTGTGATTTACCAGTTGTCAATGAAACCGTGATTTACTAGTTGTCAGTGAAACTGATGGCATCTGTGATTGTCCACTTTTCAGTACAACTGATGGAAACTCTGATTTTCCAGTTTTCAGTGCAACTGATAGAAACTGCAATTTTCAGGGTAATTATTGGCAACTACGATTTTTCAATTTTCAGTGTAATTATTGGCAGCTGCGATTTTTCAATTGTCAGTGTAATTATTGGCAGCTGCGATTTTTCAATTGTCAGTGTAATTATTGGCAGCTGCGATTTTTCCAATTTTCAGTGTAATTATTGGCAACTGCGATTTTCCTGTCAGTCAAACTGATGGAAATTGTGATTTTCCAGTTGTCTGAAGAATATTTTTTGGTTTATTTTAGTTTTTACAATTGGGAAACACAAACCTCCACCTCCAATCCAACACCCAATTATCAAGTGATAGCTGAAAACGCCTCTGGTTTGTTGTTTAAAAATAAAAGAGATAGAAAAATCATCAATGTTGACCCTAAGGTATGTATGGTGATGTTGAAATGAATTGTTAGTTGCTTTAATTTCCACATTTCAAAGCACTTGTCCACTACGATGACCTGTGGTCAATCACTTTGCTCTGATACATACACACCCCGTTCATAGCGGACATCATAAAATAAAATGGAACTTTAAATACAATTACCTTTCACCACCTGATGTTGACACCATTTAGTTGACTCATTTTTCAGTTTCCTCCTGTGGAAGAATCTATAAAATGAACAGTTTATAGGATACAAGGTCTCAGTTTATTGCAGCACCCTAAAAACTGAACATCGCAGACTTTTGTTCTGACATTTTCAAAACAGTTGTCACCCTTTTATTTGTATCTGAAACGCTTCCATTTGCATCCAGATTTGACTTTTGATTCTCTATGCTGATTTCTGACATCATATTGTACTTTCTTTATGTTTCAGGCACCAAGCCCAGGTGACAATTCCACAAGAACTGTTTTAGAAACTCCAAAATACATTCAAATAGTAATCTATGACCATATCACTAGAAGAAAAACATAAACTAATTGATATCCAGTCTTTCATGTATTATTTATTATTCTTAATGAATTAAATAAATGGAATTAATTCATAAATTAATATTTATCAATAATAAATCCATTTGTAGAATAAATATTTATATTAGTATCAGTGGTGGAGCCAGGTTGACGTCCGAGAAGGGGCGAATATCTAAGGTTGTCTGAATTTCTAACCTAGCTATGAGAGTCATGCCCGAAAAACTTGCATTCGGGGCCGCAATGGAGCCCTTCGGCTCTGCCACTATCACTATTAGTAGGCCTACATGGACGTTTGTAGAAAATGCCTGAGCGAGGCAAGGCCCGGAAGGTCGAAGAATCTTGAGGCCGGTGATCTGGGGACTGCCAAATTCATCCTTATTCTGTAGGTTTCAACTAAAACCACTGTACCAGTGCTGGAATAGCTCGGTCAGTAGCGAGTGTATGTGGGTTTAAATCCTCCTCAGTGCCAGTGCTTTCTAGAGTCGGCCCGGTGTCGGCTCTCACCCCCTAATAAGATGAGATGAGATTCGGCTGTCGGCATTTTTTTTTAATAAGAATTTGAATTCAATATCAGATTCCTCCTTGATTGTTGAAAGTTGAAAAGCTTACCATAACAGTCGTCATTTACTCTTACAGTTAAATACAAATAGAAGCAAAAGCTAGAAACTGAAAGCAACTTGGAATATCTTTAATAAAGATAGTTTGCCAGACAATGTAATATACGCCAACTGGCAGCTTTGATTTCATATAATAATATTTGGCAGTAAAGTAACAATCATCAGAATGAAATATTCAACCTTCAGTTATACACATCTTTGAAACTTTTTAGGCTGATCATGAACGGTATTACTAACTTTTGTCAAAATCCGACAACATTCAAGCCTTTTAGTGCTTACGAGCTAAAACTTGAACGCCATTTCAAGAACAAGGGCAATAACTCATTCTAAATATTTTTCTGATTTTCAATAGGGTCAATTCTTTGATGATTACAAACACTCACATCAAATTCCATCAAAAATTGTTCCTTGTAGACTGTTTACGAGCATTTGTGGACGAAATGACGGACGGGTATCGTTATAAGATACGTGTGGCGACAAGAGGTAAAAAGAGTTTTAAGTAGTGAGCGCCATGTTTTATTATACAATTACAAACTACCACTAGTTGAAAAAAAATCATTCATTGTTTCTCTCAAAAGTAATATATAGTTAAGTAACCTAATTTCGTGTATATAGGATGTCTATGGCAAACTTGCTTTATGCATTTGGTGTAAAATGGGAGGTAAGCACAGTAGATCTTCTTGTGTATATTTACTATGATCTGCAAATTAAAGGGACAGATTCGATATTTTCGGTGATTGATTTGCATCTTGAATATATATTATGTTGATAGTCTTTATAAGTACTAGAAATGTACAAAAATGGCACAATTCCTTCAAAAACACCCCTAAGTAGGAAATTTTCTTTCTATTTCTATATATGTTTTTTTTCTATGTATGACTTAAGTCTTAAGTCTTAAGAATTGACGAGTCGTCTTTTTAACTATCTAACTCGTAAAATTCTGGACACAGATGGATTTGAAGGAATGACGTCACTATCGCAAAGGACCTTTTATGATAATATAAGCAGAGCCTATAATATAACCAATAATACTTTAATATCAGAAATGTATACATTATTTAGCTAGGCCAATTAGTAATAGTGTTCACAGCACACCGTCGAAATTTGAACCTGCAGATCCATATGTGTCCAGTATTATCCGCGTTTGAAAGTTAAAAAGACGAGTCGTCTTTTTTTTCGAGACATTGCCATATAGAAAAGACTTTTATGGAAATAGAAAAAGAAATTCCTAGCTTGAGATATTTTTAAAGGAATTATGCGATTTTTGTTCATTTCTAGTACTTCTGAAGAAAATGTTATATTCAAGACTGAAATGAACCTCCCAAAATGGCACATCTGTCCCTTTAAGAGCTCAAAAATTGAGAATAGAAGGGAGAGTAGGTGTCACAGAACTGTCAAGTGTACACAGCAACATGTACAAGTATTTAAGAGCTTAATGAAAAAAATAACAATGGGGGAGGGGCGAGTAAGCGTTACAGAACTGTCAAGTGGACACAGTAATAGATACATGTATTTAAGAACTCAATGAAAAATAATGACAATGGGGGAGGGGTGAGTAAGCGTCACAGAACTGTCAAGTGGACACAGCAACATGTGCTTGTATTTAAGAGCTTAATGATGAAAAGTGAGTAAGGCAAAGGGGCGGGGAGGTTTCGAATAAGGAGCACAGTAACAGGTACATGTATTTAAGAACTCACTGAAAAATAATGACAATGGGGGAGGGGCGAGTAAGGGTCACAGAACTGCCAGGTGGGCACAGCTACAGGTGTTTAAGAATCACATGATATAAAAAAAACAAGTCGAGAAGCCAAAGCCAAATCAACTCAGATCTGTAGAAACGCTACTGTAAAGATTAATATATTTCAAAATCAGATTCATAAATATTAATCATTTTATACCTTTCTTGTTTCTTACTTATAGCTTTACATCCAATTTCATAAAAATAGATTGATTCTAGTAATTTGTAGACAATCATTTTCCTGGTCACAGAGTCTCCAGTAACTTCAGACGGCTTGATTTCAAAAGTTCCGTTGTTTTCTAATTTGATCTCCCTGAAAGTATAAACCGGGGAGTTCTCATCGGGAACAGGATGTATAAAGTATACTGTGGGCAAAGGATCTCCCGTAGCCGTACAAGTTACCTCCATGGTCCTTTTACCATTCTCATCATGGGATTCCGTTCTCGAGAAGCTGTCAATTCTTATAATATTATTCACCACATAAACTTCGAAACTATATTTCATAAACCTCCCGCCTTCGAAATTCGCAATAATTTCATAAGTACCAGAATCTTCAACTGTCACATTATACGAAGTTAACACAACACTAACTTGACCTTTAAAATATCTGGTAATAAGGAACTCAAATCCCGGAAAATCATAAGATAATCTGGTTTTCAAATTTTTACGTATTGAAATATCCGTTGGTGCACCGAAAATACTGATAAAAAATGCATGTGGTAAGTTAGCTTGAAGAGCACCCTGTTTGTGAGCCTGACCCACAATGGCATTGTTCAAAAAATATGTAGAATCCTCTTGTCCCTTTGGAAAAACTGTATATCGCTTGCGGATTTCCAGAGTTATGTAATTGGCAATCTTGATCTCCTGATCGAAGTAAATAATACCATCCATTGGTTTGTCAGGATTTAGATCATATCGTGCTAATGCTTGGTATTTCCCATCTTCTAGTGTGTAATTATCAGAACCAGAATACTTAAAATGGGACTTATCATGTGTTCCTGGCTCAAAAAATTTATTCGGTTGTATATCAGTATTATTGGAAGAGTTCGCGTCTGTAGTCGAATCCAGGTTTATTGTGGTTCTAAGATTAATATGAC